AAGAACAATTTGTTCACTGGAAAAAAAATTAATTTCAATTTTAACAAAATAATCTATTATTAAAAATTCAGACTAAATTTTTTCAAAATTAATTTTTTTAATTATACGGGCAATTTTTATTCGTAGAGTACTAGGAAAATTACAACAACAAAAATTGAAAACAATATCTAAATGGCTTTTGATTGAAATTAAATAAAAAAATATTTCTTTTTAATTCATTTTTAAATTTAAATTAAATTTGAATAAATAATGTGATGTAAGGTCTATATTTTATTTTCTGCAAAAAAAAAAAAGGGTAACTCAACAAATTTGGACGCTCAAAAATGTCCGAAGTCCTCCGTAGTTTATAAAATAGTAATAACAAAGAAATGAATCAAATAGCATAAAAAAAAATTAGTAATGATGACAAACTTCGGTAGCGATGATATTAATTATATATTATTATTATTATTATTATTAATATTATTATTATTAATCGATAATGCATCGAGACTCGATATACATATAGAAATAATTACTATACATAAATATGATATATATTACTATAGTGCCTCGCGAGGCCTTAAATACATTGATGGTGATCGAATTTTAGAGGTATTTTGAAAAGCTTTTTAAAGAAAATTAACGGGGAATTTAATTATAAATACATACTTCGTTACTCGCCAACGATCGCCATCATATGTGAACGGAGATTATTAGATTTTAATTAATTACATAATTAGAAAGATTAGTCTTATAAACTATATTTGAAATGTGAAAGAAAAAAAAGGCAAAACGTCGACTTTGTTGGGATAGTTTTTTTTTTTTACATTGTTGCCAAATTTAAAAAAAAAATAATAAAAAATTTTTTTTCCATTAAAAATTACTAAAATATAATATTTGTTACTAAATTCGTAATTAGTTTGGAAAAAAATAATTTTTTTTTGTCGAATTTGGCTACAATTAAAAAAAAACAACTAAAGTTTCGTATAAAAAGAGATGTGATATATTCTCTTGAAAAAAAATTTTTTTTTTTTTATGAATATTGAAAATTTTCGAGCGCGTTAGACTCAACGAAAAAAAAGGAAATGAAACACAATAAATTGTGTGAAAAAAAAAAATATAAACAAAGAGAAAAGAAAATAATATCGAGGACCATGTTAGAAGAATGAAATTTACTTTTTTGCGATAAAAGAAAAATCGGTGCCTTCGAAACTTGTTACGAGATACTAATGTCTAATATTATATATCTAATCGATAAGTGATTCCAGTGCTAATTATATATACAAAAAAAGAAAAGAAAGCGTATATAATTTTTGACAATTAAATATCGCGATTCCAAACAAAAAAAAAGTTAAAAAAATTTTTTCAAAAAAAAAAAAAATAATAATGTTGAGGAATTGCAAAAATTATGTATCTCTGCCATTATAATATTCAAATATATATATAATATAAATCATATATATATAGGGAAAAAAAAATTATCCGAAAATAATATTATTTTCTCGATTTTAATCTTTACAAATATTCGTCATTGAAAAAAAAATTAGTTCTCATTTTTTTAATTATTTGAAAATAAGTGAGTCTTATTGCGCACATAATTTGGCTTATTATAATTACAATAATTACGATTTTTGTTTTTACACAATTTGTAATTACAAATGATTTTTTTTTTTTTTTTGTTTAATCAATAACAAAAAAAGATTTTTTATTTAGGTGTCGGATTGGTGGAATGGGAAGACTCTAACAGAACTATAAAAAAAAAATTTTAAACTAAATTGAATAAAAAAAAAAAAAATATGAAAAGAAAAAATTTCAAAAAAAAAATTATAAACGTGATTTCAGTAACGTGTTACGTTAATTATATACATATTAATTAAAAAGCGAAATTTTTTCAAAATTAAATGAAAATTTCGCTTAAAAATTTAAAAAAAATCGGTTTGGTTATACTTTATGGATTTATATTATTATAATTATTATTATTATTATTATATAATGCTTTTTATTGAATTAGGCTTATACAATTTTTATATTACTAGGTATTTTTCACTAATGTGAATTAAAATCTTTATAATTATATTATATACTCGACGTAATGTTTATTATAAACGTGTAGAATCTTATTTTTTGTGTGCCTTTTTTTATAAACAAAAAATGCACCGTGATATTTAGGCGTTAAAATTATTTTTTTATAAAAAAAAAAAGAATTTCAAATTTAGGAAATCGAAATTTATTTTTTTTTAAATTTCAAATTTATTTAGGAAATCGAAATTTGTTTTTTTTAAAAGTGATATATATAAAGGAAAAGAGAGACATTTCGAGTGAGAAAAAGTGAATGCCATCTATGGATTTAAAAAAGATACAGTGCTTTATTTATTCTGTGATATATAATAAAAAAAAAAAATTATTATTATATATTGTAGAAGAAAAAAAGTTAATTAAATAGTGAGATTTGTACGAGGATTGTGAGAAAAGGTCTTTATTCTATAAAATAGAATATTGACGACTAATAAGAAACGAGCGAAAGGTATTTTTTTTTTTTTTTTTTTAAAGTATTTGACAATTTTTTTTTTTGTTAGATTTACTTACTATTTTTTGGCATTAATTAGTAAGTGAATAGAAAATAAGATAGCAAAATTTCTGCCTAAAAGATATTATTTTCTATATATATTTAGGAATTGAATGAGAAAAAAAGGATTTCTGTAAATTAAATTTCGGAAATTTTTAAAAAATTTTAAAATTAATTAAGTTTTAGCTTATAAAAATTTTGTCTTCATTAGAAAACGTAAAAATTTCGGATTTTTTTTTTAATCAGGCCTTAAAATTAAGTTTTAGCTTATAAAAAAATTTTCTATATAAGAAAACGTTAAAAAAAAAAAGAATGGTTTTCATCACTGCCAAACTGTATTTTTAATATTTAATTTTATAAATTAGCTTTTTATCAAAATTGAAAAATTTTGTTCGTTTCAATTATTTAAGTTGAATTGAGAAGGAAAAAAATATATCGAATTGAAAGTGATTCTATACGAAAATTTCGAAATTGAAAAAAAAAAAAAAAAAAAAAAATGGTATAAGAAAATTTTCTAATATGCCGCAAATTTACGTCGAGTGTATTTAGTAATTTTTTTTTTCAAAAACAAAAATTTTTCTGTATGGGGGGTAGTGCGTTTTCTAAATTTTTGGATTTCGTCCCACCGATCCATATAAAAAAAAAAAGAAAGAAAAAAAATTCAGGAAAATATTTCCTGAATACAAAAAAAAGGTTTTTTGTAATGAAAAAAAAAAAAAAAAATTGTTATTCCAGCGAGTTAGATTATTCGAAACGTGAGAGCCTTGTATTAAGTGCCTTCAAATACGACTTAGATTTTAGATTTAGAAAAAGAGGCGCTGGGTTCCCAGCTGTGAATAAATTTTTTTTTTAACTGGTATTAAAATCTACGTCAATTTTCAAAAGTACGGGATAAATTCAGAAAAAAAAGTGAAACTCCTCTCTTCTAACGAGTACCAAGAACAAAAAAAAAAAAAAAAAATGTGCAATTTTTGTTTTATTTGTCGAAAATTTTTAAACGCTTGTTATTTTTTCTTTTGTTTCGTCGAAAGTTGTATTGTCCAAAAAAAAGAGAAGGTCGAAATTTATATATTTTCTCTATTTCACGTTCGTTAAAATGAGGAGTTTAAAAAAAATTTGTATTTAAAAAAAAAGTTAATTTTTTTGTACTCTGTACTTTTGAAATAGAATCTTTTTTTTTTGTAATGAAATCAAAAAATCTCTACTAAACTGCCAATTTTTATATTTTAAATAATTATACAATAATTAAATATAAGACTTCATAGATCTACTGTGTAAGCTCACTCTAAGTGAGCCTATTTTTTTATGTTCCTGTTTTTAGTAAACTTGTCACTGTGTTTTTTTTTTTAGAACAATGTCAATTTTACTTCTTTTTTTTTTTTATTTAAGTTTTTTATTATAAGTTTTTATTTCAATTTTACCTCACTGAATATTTAAGTCATAAACTTGATTTGAATCAAGTTTTTTTTTTTTTTTTTTTTTTTAGTTTAAAAAGAAAAGCACGATACTCTTATATAAATCATTCGATTGTAATAGAACATTATATTCAATAATTACGCTCAGCGCCTCAAGTATAGAAAAAAAAAATATTTGTAATCGTAATAATTCTTTTCGCCATGTATTTGCCAACGAACGATTATTTTTTTTTTTGTCTTCATTTTTAATTATTATAATAGTATATAGAAAAAAAAAAACAATTATACTCTATACAAATAATTGATATATAAATCTTTCTAGATTATTTTGCTTCTTTTGATATATGAAGATTATTATACTCATTAAAAATGGGATTAAATATTTTACATCTTCGACATTTTTATAGAAAAATTACTGATTTTTTTTGGTTTTTTATTTACAATTGTCTTCTTTTTTTATTGTACAAATTATTATCATCATTCCATATATATATTTTTTTTAAACAAAGCGTGTCCATATTTTTATATATATTATTTTGTAATACGTCTTTTTTTCGATTTTAAAAGAAAAAAACATTCCACAAATTCGTTGTCTTTCGTTTTTCGATTTGTATAGAAACTTTGTATTCAATATTTTCGAGCAAAATAAAGTCTAGAAAGACAAAATTTCCTTGCCCAATGATTTAAATTTCCCTATTATTAAAAATATTTTATTTCAAAGGTAATGTATTTTTATTTATTTTTATTTTTTTATACTATTTTATTTATTATTTTTAGTTTTTTATATTATTTTATTTATTTATTTGGTAAGATTTTTTTTTTAAATCGATTTGCAAAAATAATTTTTAATTATTGTATACTAGTTTTTTTATTTATTTTTTTTACTATTTTATTTATTATTTTTAGTTTTTATATTTTATTTATTTTTTTTTATCATTTTTTATTATTTATTTCATATAAAAAAATACTGATTTGTTTTGAAAATTAAAAAAAAAATTCGCTTTTTTCCTATACTGACTAGTAACTTGTATTTTCAGGTGTTCCGGATCATACAAATCACAAGAGCAAAGGAAGAGAAATTCAAGAAGGAAGCAAAGGTAGAAGAAAAAATAAAAATGTATATTAGTTATTAAAAAAAAAAAAAAAAAAAAATTATCTTTCCCCATTCTTTTTAATTAACACTATATAAATTATTAGATAATAAAATAAAAAAACTCTGTAGTATTTTCAATTGAAAAACGTTTTTTTTTCGATTTTTTTGTGTATTAATTTTTTATTTCAGAATATTATATGATTTTTCAACATTTTTTTTTTAAATGTACATTAATCAAAAAATTTTTTTTCTTTTTTTCAGGACTAGAAAATTTTTTTTTTTTTTAGTTTTCACACACGAAAGAAGAGATAGGAAAATCAACATTGAAAATATCCTATTTTTCCCCCATTATCCTTGAATGGTTTTCTCTTGAATCCTTTAATTATATAATCAGAATGAAATAACTAAAAACAACCATAAACACCACACAAGACCACTTTCATATTCCTCATAAATCAACATCCGAAGGAAAATATTTGCAATTGATTTTCTTGTCAGTTAGAAAATGATAATTCGATTGAACAAGCAAAAAACAAAAGTCTTTTTAAACATTTTATTTTTTGCAAAAATAAAACGACACTTCGAGTATAATTTGTTTTAATTTGGCAATCCTATTTTTATTTAACCTAACCTAGTAATACAAATATAAGGTTACATTGAAATCGTAAAACGTAAACTTTAACATGAGATAGAAAAGGATAGAATATGTATGTCCTTTTCTCTCTCATTCTTAAGTGATACGATTACGCAAGCGCAGTTGCCTTTTAGGTTATGTATCGAATACTATCGTCAAAAGTTTCTCAGACATTCGTTTTTAGCATTGCAAATCGATAAATTTTCAAACTGACAAAAAAATTAAATTTTTTTTTTTTTCACCAAAAATCTAGTCCAAAAATCCATTTCTTTTTTTTTTTTTTGCTCGTTGTTGCTAGCTTTTGAAAATTTGAATGTTTTTTTTGGCATGGCCCGCGCCGTATAAATGCGAAGCAAATTTTTTTTTTGCTCAAAACTCGCAATAAGAGAGAAAAAAAAAGCTCGCTGCAAAAAATTTTTTTGCTTGACTCTATTATGAAAAAAAAGAAAACAAACAAATTGATGTTTATTAATGAAGGACGATTTTTGGGATTTTTTTGTCTATTAGGATTTTTTGCCAGTCTTGGATGGAATGCTGATGGTACAAGAAGAATATCAAGAAATTCAAATGATGTACCAGCGCCATTGGCACCGCAAAGACGTGCACGACTTCATTGTCCATCGCATCACGTGAGCCGTAACAATAATCGACCAATTAATATTTCAGCTCTCGATCGACGTCACAATTGTGCACGTTGTGGTAAAAGTTACAAGAATGCCTATATATTGAAACGTCATACACTCTATGAATGTGGAAAAGCGCCATCATTTTCATGTCCACATTGTGCTTTTAGTTCCAAATATGAGAGAAATTTGAAAGCTCACATTAATCATCGTCATATGGATGTTCAATCACAATCCAGTGCCACAATTAATCAACGAGCTTAAAATTAATTTTTTTTTTCAAATTTTGAAAAAAAAGGTGACAAAAGAAAAAAAATTTATTTGAAAAATCTGTGTTTATGAAGGTTTTTATGCTTTTAATGTACACCCAACTGTATAATTACACTTTTTTTGTCCTTTTCTAACGCACGCGTTGTCATGGTAACACGTGCGTTAGAAAAGGATAAAAAAATGTTGCCATGACAACACGTGCTTTAGAAAAGGAAAAAAAAGTGTAGGTATATCTGATCACGAGTGTTCCTTCCGGTTTGACGGCATTTTGAAAAGTCGTGACAATTGGGTGGTTTCCATTGTCCCCACTCGCCACTTGTCATAATTCTCATCAACTGCCGCACTCTATTCTAATGAAAATTTAGTGACTTTATTGTTAAAATTAAAAGTTACTAAATTTTTACTAGAGCAGGGTGCGGTAGTTGACGAGAATTATGAATTGACAAATGGTGAGTAGAGACAATGGAAACCAACCGTTGTGACATAAATATAATAAGGTTCGTTTCCATTGTTCTCAATCGCCATTAGTCATAATTCTCGTCAACTACCGCACTCTGCTCTAGTAAAAAATTTAGTGACTTTATTGTTAAAATTAAAAGTTACTAAATTTTTACTAGAGCAGGGTGCGGTAGTTGACGAGAATTATGAATTGACAAATGGTGAGTAGAGACAATGGAAACCAACCGTTGTGACATAAATATAATAAGGTTCGTTTCCATTGTTTTCAATCGCCATTAGTCATAATTCTCGTCAACTACCGCACTCTGCTCTAGTAAAAAATTTAGTGACTTTATTGTTAAAATTAAAAGTTACTAAATTTTTACTAGAGCAGGGTGCGGTAGTTGACGAGAATTATGAATTGACAAATGGTGAGTAGAGACAATGGAAACCAACCGTTGTGACATAAATATAATAAGGTTCGTTTCCATTGTTCTCAATCGCCATTAGTCATAATTCTCGTCAACTACCGCACTCTGCTCTAGTAAAAAATTTAGTGACTTTATTGTTAAAATTAAAAGTTACTAAATTTTTACTAGAGCAGGGTGCGGTAGTTGACGAGAATTATGAATTGACAAATGGTGAGTAGAGACAATGGAAACCAACCGTTGTGACATAAATATAATAAGGTTCGTTTCCATTGTTCTCAATCGCCATTAGTCATAATTCTCGTCAACTACCGCACTCTGCTCTAGTAAAAAATTTAGTGACTTTATTGTTAAAATTAAAAGTTACTAAATTTTTACTAGAGCAGGGTGCGGTAGTTGATGAGAATTATGACAAATGTCAAGTGGGGACAATATAGAAACCAACCAATTCTATAATAATTTTGTTAGTTCGTGGCGTATAGTGTAAAGGCCAATGCACAATAGATTCACGTAAGTGAAGCATTACTTAGAAAAGGACAGATATATATTTGCGTCCTTTGGTGAAATAGAAAAGAACACAAATAAATTTTTATCCTTTTCTGTCTCACCATACGCTGGTTTGGTTTCGATTGTCCCCACTCGCCATTTGTCATAATTCTCGTCAACTACCGCACTCTGCTCTAGTGAAAAATTTAGTAACTTTTAATTTTAACAAGAAAGTCACTAAAATTTTACTAGCGCAGGGTGCGGTAGTTGATGAGAATTATGACAAATGGCGAGTGGGGACAATGGAAATTAAACACGCCACGAACTATTAAAATTATTAAGGTGATTCCACAATAACTTGCTTTTTAATTGCTTTGATTTTGACTTCCTGAGTTTATGTAAAAACGGTGCGCGCGCAACTCCAAAATAGCGGAACGTAAAATTGCGTCTCTTGGACAATTTTTGGAGTTGCGCGCGTACCGTTTTCACATAACTCAGCAAGTCAAAACCAAAGCAATGCAAAAGTAAGTTAATGTGAAATACACTATATAGAAGTGTCACGACTTTTCAAAATGCCATCAAACCGAAAGGACATCATACATGCAATGGGTATACCATAACCTTAAAAATTGTCAACGTCTGTCGCTAAATGCAACTGCGCTTGCGCTACAACAATTCTCATTGGTAGAAAAAGGCGCTCTTATTTAAAAATACTTTAATATAAGAAAATATTTAGAAAACAATAAAAAAAAATTAAGTACTAAACATAAAACAGCAATAAATACCGCAATTGAAAATTGTGGCAATAAATTTCTTATTAAAAATTTTTTTTTACTTTCTTTTTAAAAAACTTTTTCTTGTATTTAAAGCATTTTAAATAAAAGCGCCTTTTTCTACCAATGAGAGAGTTACGATAGCGCAAGCGCAGTTGTGTTTCGCAACGGTCATTGACATAGTCTCTTGTGGTAAAGATTATACTATTCAATAGATTACTTATTCATCACAAGTATAGTAAAACATTGCCAATTGCGGCATTATTTTCTGATTAATCGCGGTAAAAAAAAATTGTGCCAAAAAAATATTCGAACAAATTTAAAATTATTCGTTATTTACGCTCTTATAAAGTTTAAAATGTTTTTTTTTACTAATTTTAAATTGAGCAATACTGAGAAACACCATTTTGAGGTTTTTTTTTTTATAAGTCTGAAATGGTTAATAAGTTTAACAATAAGTGTGCCATATTTGTGTGTTCTATAACATGTTCTTCCCAATTGCGCCATAACAACCGTTTTTCCAAAGATAGTGTTTTTTTAAAACTAGTTATCTTATATTAATTTTATTATTATTAATAATAACTAATATTATATTCACATATATATATATATATTAATTTCATAGTTCTTTAAATTCTATTATCGTGCAATTTTTTTTTTATTTTTGCGTTTTACATTACAAATGCAAAATAAAATTTTGCATTATCTTTTTTTTTTAAATTTGTTTATTGGAAATATTAACAATATTTCGAGAGGAATTATTTTTTTTTTAATTTCATTTAATAAATTATCCATGACAATTTATTACTTTTATACTTTAAGCGTTAAATTGCTTTGACTGTTTTTGAAAATAATGTATTTTTTTTCTGTAGGATTTAAGTATGTATTTGTATAATCAAATGCGAGCCAAAACATGACATAAAAAATAATTATTTCATTTACGCGCAATGTATAAATGTTGATGAGATGAAATTTTTGAAAATCAAATATTTCGATTTTGAATTTATGACAATATTTTACCACGGGAACACCGAGGTGTTGTGTCGATTTGATTTTATGCCTTAGATTTATGCCCTTAATAATATTATTAACAGTATAGAAATATTGATGATAATTAGCGATAGAAATTTAAAAAAAAAAAAATTCAGTACGAGAGAAAATTAAATTTTTGTTTTGTTGAAAAAAATTTTTAATTTTTTAAAATTAAAAATTTTTATAATTAAAATTTTTATAATTTTGAGTTTTTTTAAAATTAATTTTGAATTTTTTGTTTTTTTGCCTATTGAATAGCATATTTTTGAAAATAGGGTGCCATTATTTTGCAATTGTGCACGAAGCTAGTATTTCTTAAGTCACTTATAATTATAATTGATAATAATTATAAATATGAAAATCGATAAGGAAAGAGAAAATGATTGTTGTTGATTATTCAAAAGACTCGAGAAGACCTATTATATAGAATTATTATTTTTTTTTAATCAACAAGATTTGTTATAAATATATGTATTTTTTCAAATTTTCAACTTGAAAAATCATTTTAACTATTTTATAATTACATATAGTTAAAATATTTTACTTGCAATATTTTGTAAAAAAAAAATTAAATTAAAAAAAATTTTTTTTTAAATAAATATTTTTTTAACCATTAACTGAAAAGCTAATAAGAATTTTTAAAAATTGGTGCAATGAATAAAAAAAAATTTAATATTTATATTTTTTCAAGTATATTTCAAATCTTTTTTAAAAATTCAAAAATTGATCGTTGAATTTAAAAAATAAAATTTTTACACTTTATATATAATAAAGAAAAATAAAAAATTGTCTTTCAAGGTCTTTTTTTGTCCAGTTTTGTATAATAAACATGAAAAATGATTTAATTATTTTTATACGAAATGAAAGAAACAAGGGCATATTATTATATAGGTGAAAATTTAGTTTCTCTGAATTTGATAAATCATTAAAAATAGAACAAAAAAAAAATTATATAGAAACGACGAAATAAATTTGTAGGAATTTTGAAAACAAATAGAACTGATAGAGCCACATTCAAAATAAAAATGAAATCAAATGTCTCGATGCAACGAAATTCAAAACTAATAATAATAATAATAATAATAATAAAAAAAATCCCCTATTTTAGCTTTCTATATTATAGTGCTGAATAGTTTAAGATAAATTTTACAGTCAGTACAAGAATGATCATAAAATAAAAAAAAGAAACTTTGCATTTGAAATCTTTCCTTAGAAAAAAAAATAGAAATTTTTTTTTAAAAATTAAAATAAAAAATATTGAAAAAAAATGCAACAATATTTCGGAAAATTATTGAAAAATTGAAAATTTTATTTATTGGTATTTTCTAATTATTTTCGTTATGAAAAACGTGATTAAAAAAAAATTTTGAAAAGAAAAGTTTTTAATAAAAAAAAAACTTTAAGTTACAAAATTTTTTATTGAAAAATGATTTTCATAAAAAAATCATAATTATAATTTTTATCTAAAGGAAAGTACAGATTTTGAATTAAAAGTGCATTTTGAAGAAGGTCAAAGACTTTTTTTTCGAATTAGGTACGTGACAGTCTCGTGATTAAAATTTAATTTGGAATTGTCTAGTCGTAGAATGCCTAATAGGGTGGATATGCCCAAAAATAGAGAATATATTTAAAAACAAAAAAAAAAGTTATATATAAATTACATATATATATATATTATATATTATTATGTACATTATGCAATAAACATTTATAAAAAAAACAGTGTAATTTGTATAAGTTAAATATATATATATAAATATATTCACTGCGAATCTATAATGTGAAATAAAAGTTGTATGACTTTTTAAAGTTGACATTATAAACTTGGTCAGGTGAATAAAAAAATGACAAAAAAAAATACTAAAAATTTCCAAAATTAAAAAAAAAATTTTTATATAAATCTCGATTTTGTCAAATATTTTACATTTGAAAATAAAATTCTTTCATGACGAAATTTTTCTCTTCAAACCGAATAAAATTTATATTATAATAGTAAATAAATAAATAATAATAATTAAAAATATATTTATCTCAGCTAAATAAATATTTGTTACAAATAAAAATTTTTATCACAAATATTTAAACCTGGGACAAATTGTATTTTTTCTCTTAATGTACTTTGTAAAATTTTCTTTAATAATATTTAAATAAGAAAAAA